AAACAATCCTATTTGATTATGAATAGCCCATATAACTTTTTAATTGCTATGATCTATGTTGTTAAAAGAATTAAAAGAAAAAAATAAATCAATATTATAACAATGAGGTTATTTTCCTTCTAAGGGTTTCTGCTTTTTGTTAGGTAATAATACACTTTCATTTTGCTTTCTTTTCTTAACATTTATTATTTTTCTTTCCTCTTGGTAAATTTCATAGGTAATCCTTTCTTTATCCAAATATATTTGCAAGGATTTAGTATCTTCTAATTTAAAAATATAAGGAGCAATTTTTTCACCTTGTTCCTTCTTCAAAATACTTTTAATGGTGCTATAATTCTTTGGTTCCATAGTAGATCTGATGTAAATTAGCTTCATATTAACTATTTTTATATAGAGGTAATTCTATATATCACTTAAGATAACAAAATGGAATATTATAAAACTATTAATTATAATCACATTATGAAATGACTAAATTTTGATCCCTGAAATTCTTGGTATTACGAATGTTCACTTTGTCTGGTTTTGTTGCAGCATGCCCCGTATTATAGTTGAATATAAATAATAATATTATTATATTTTTCATAATATTATATCAAAATTATTAATAAAATATTAATGCTAAAATAGAATCGTCAACCACATTACCTTTTAAACATGCATTATTAAAGAAAGCATTACTTTTAAGAATAAATAAAAATAAATTTTCAATAAAAAAATTATATATGGGACATACTGCAACAAAACCAAACAAAGTGAACATTGAAATTACCAAGAATTTCAGGTGATTATAAAATTTGTTCTTTTCTTGGGATTGCCTCTAGACAAAAGTAAAGATGGTTCTGCACCAGTTGCAAAATTCAAAACTAGACAAAGTGAACATTTGTATATACACCAAAGAAGGACCTCAGGCCAAAAGGAAATTTGTTTGCAGTTAAAAATAAGTTTAATTAATTTAGAGGATTTTTTTTTTTTTTTTACTAAAAATAAATTCTGAAACATGATTCTATTCAATGTTTCAATTTCATTTAATAATTCTTTATTTGCTTGTTGTTGTTCATTTATAATTTTTACCATGTTTGTTCTTTTTAATATATATTCTTTTAATATACTTATATCCTTTTTATAAGGGTGTATTAAGTATATAAATTATTTTAGTACTTTTTTATTTTAAAACTAATAATATTTGTCAAAAGATTAAACTTATTAAACTTAATGACAGTAAGGGGACAAATTAACAAGTGTGATAAAGTAATGAAGGTGCTTTTGTTCTAAATATATTATTCATTTCTGGTATAGAATGGTCTTGGGCAAGTAATATCTTTGTATTCATCTTTCACAAATGGACGAATATTATGATAAAGATATTCTTGCCTCTTATAATCTAAAGGAGGGGGTGTTAACACTAAAATAGATAAAGCTTTAATCTCTTCAAAAATATCTGCTTTCTTGGTTTTCAATAAATTGAATTCAGCAAAAGGTCCATTAGCAATTTCCTGAGCTTTGACCATACCAAGATTAGTTGCTTCAAAAAGAAAATGTTGATATTTCTGGATACTTGGTAATTTGTGAGGGAAATTTCATATAGGCAAAAAATCTACAGGTGCTACAAAGTAAAGTTTTTTATTTTCTGACTAAAAATCAAAAAAAAAGTACCAATATATTCTTTGATGTTTATTCCATCTTATAAAATAAGGGGATATAAATTTGAGGCACAAAAACATAGTGCTATTTTCTTGTAAAAGATCATAAAGTAAAATTTTTTAATAGTAAAATCAGCACTTCTAGATTTTTTGCCGATCATTTGATATGAAATCTCCCTCGTTTTTTACTATGTACGACTCACTCACTTATTCGCGGATCATCAATTAATCTTGTACACGTTTGTCGATCAATAAATTAATTAATTAATAATAACAACCCTTTCTGATGGTTAATCAATTGTTCGGCCAATCTTTAATTATTAGTTAGGGACCCTTTTAGTTTT